AAAAAGAAAAAAAAAGTCGCATTCAGGAAATGATGGTTGGAAATTTGCCCCTTTTGCTGTTGTACTGTTTACAGGGTACTAAAACACAACTACCTGGAAGGTTCCTTGGATATTGGTCCGGGGTGAGCAGCAACCTGGAGATCATAGATTTGCAGGGTATTACATTACTGATTTCTCTTCCGGAGCATACACATTTGAAATAATGTAGACGGAATTCTTTAGTCTATCTATTATTTGCTGAATTACTAGGCTTGTATATTATACGTTGGAAGATTGATTTTCCGAAGGTGAATATAGTTGATTTAAAGATTATCAGTGTACCTTTTACATGACTAAAGTTTTTTCTACAAATTTCTGTAGACTTGTAGATAATCCAGTGTGCCGGGAGACGGGAGCAACATATCCTATTGTACATTACCGCCACCAGATTCCTCACCTTTTTATTCAACCCCTCCTCAGAACTGCCAGCCTATGTATGCAGTTCTGGTCAAATTTCCAGCCCCACATGCAGATGTGCATATCCATACTCGGGGAGACTACAATTCAGAGGCTTTTTCTTCTCAACTTGCAAAGCCAGACTTCATTTGAAAGTCTTGAGCAGAACTTGACGCAGTTCTTCAAGTTCCCCGAGTTTCTAGTTGATTCCGTTTCACTAAGAAATCCACAGAGGATCCATTTCATTATCTTCTCTTGGACGTTGAATTATTTCCATATGGCCAAGATAGGTTCAATAGTACCGGAATTTCTACGATTGCATCTGCCTTTAGCAGCCAGCATTACAAACCTGGCATGTTCTTTGGACCTTATGTTTTTATGGGTGCTCCATATGAGTACTTTTCTGGTAATGCGCCTGCAATAGAACTAAAATGAATTGCTAATTTTCTGTTTATTTAGATTCATCATTTTCCCTGAATACGTGTTGTATCATATAGATGGGCCTGCACACTCGAGCAAATCAAGTGCTGGTATCGCAATAGGAGCGGCAGCTGGTGCTTCAGTGCTTTTTGTACTATTAGTGCTTGCTGGGTTTTATGCTTATCGTCAGAGGAAGAGAGCAGAAAGAGCAACCCTAGAAGCAACCCTTTCGGTATGATGACTATTTCTTTCAATCTTTTCATATTAATTGTGGGATATCTAGGTGTTGATTCTCTTCCATCAAAAATAGCACACTGGGATCCTAAGAAGAGCAGCGGTAGCATTCCTCAGTTAAAAGGAGCCAGATGCTTTGGTTTAGAAGAGCTTAAGAAATACACAAACAGTTTTTCAGAATTCAACGAAATCGGATCGGGGTTATGGAAAGGTTTACTTCGACTCTCATCCTCTGTTTTTCATGTGTTTATAAAAAAACATGCATGCTGGGGGTGGTCTTACATCCACAGTTCCACATCATGTTGGTTTGGAATATTGACTGACTGAAACAAGATACAATGAAATTTGCTACTTACTACGAATTATGATCAAGCCAACGGAGAATGCGGTCAATAGGAACATATTTGGATGCATAATTTCAGAAATAAATGCAAGTATCTGAAGATTCAAAAAAATAGTCATTTTATTCTATATGACTCCAACTCTTCAATTTTTTTATTTTGAAATATTCCAGTCTAGGCTTGTGTCCAACACGAGTATGGATATGACCTCTACGGATCCAATCCATTGAAAAACTTTGGAAAAACTGATTATACATTGTTTTATACATACCCATATCTAACACTTACATCTGAGTTCATGTAACATAGTTTTATTCATTGTTTCATTTCAGGCCACTAGCACTAGCTCCTTTTGCACACTATGCGTTGCAATGAAATTTTTACCTTAATGAAGGGAGGTTTTAAGTAGTTTACAGAGGTTATTATGCAATAATAATAATAATATAATAAGGTTACCTTTTCTGTCTGCGAGTATTTGTATTGCTGAGTTGGAGCTCTGTAGCATGGACATTGTGAGATATAAATTATTTTTCCAAATAATTTCCAATTCCCTTTACAGGTTTATAGAGGAACTCTACCAACTGGGGAGCTCGTTGCCATCAAACGAGCTCAGCAAGGATCTATGCAGGGCGGGCTCGAATTCAAAACAGAAATTGAGCTTCTCTCTAGTTCATCATAAAATGTTGTAGTCTACTGGGATTTTGCTTTGAGCGAGGTGAACAAATGCTAATATATGAATATATTCCTAATGGCTCACTTAGTGACAGTCTGTCAGGTACCTTCCTCTAGTTCCTCACTTCATTACTCCAGATTGGGTTACATCATCCCAATATCTAAAGCTTTTTCTGCACTCTTGGATTTATTTCTTTGAAAAATAACACATTATAATAATGCAGGGAAGTCAGGGATCAGATTGGACTGGAGCAGGAGACTGAAATAGCCTTGGTGCAGCTAGAGGTGTTGCATATTCACGAGCTTGCAAATCCTCCCATTATTCACAGGGACATCAAGTCCACTAACATCTTATTAGATGAACGCTTAAATGCTAAAGTTGCTGATTTTGGTCTCTCCAAACTTATGGGTGACAGTGAAAAGGGTCATGTTAGTACTCAAGTGAAGGGTACAATGGTGAGTTCTTCCCTACGCTGTCTCGTGCCTACAATATTACAGACTTTAAATTTGTAGAAACTTGAGTACCAAGCTCAGCTATTGGCAATGTTGCTCAGGCACCAAGGTCAGCTGGTGCCGATGGTTCTTGGCACAAGGCCAGCTAGTGCTTTAGGATGAAATTGTTTTACTGATATGACTATTGCTAATATTATTTACAGTCCTAAGAATTAATTTGTGTATGTTGTAGGGTTATTTGGATCCTGAATATTATATGACCCAACAGTTGACTGAGAAGAGCGATGTTTATAGCTTTGGAGTGCTGATGCTGGAAATAGTAATTGCAAGAAGACCAATAGAGCGAGGGAAATACATAGTAAGGGAGGTGAGAACGGCGATGGACAAAACGAAAAGCTTGCTGGACCAAAGCTTAGTTTTGGACCTCATCCAAAGGCTTGGAAAGGTTTGTAGACCTGGCACTGAGATGTGTTGAAGAATCAGGAGATGAAAGGCCTACAATGGGTGAAGTGGTGAAGGAGATTGAGACATTATGCAGATGGCCGGCATGAACCCGAACGCTGAATCGGCATCAAGCTCTGTAACTTATGAGGATGCAGCTAAAGGAGCTAATCCATACTGTGACGAATCTTTGCTTACAGTGGAGGCTTCCCTATGTCTGTCACCATGATAGAGCCCCATTGAATGTGAGTTCTTTTACTATTTTTATCAGCAACGAGCTTAGTAACAGTGGGAGCTGCTTCTGTTTTATTATTTTCCTTCCCATGGACTCGTTTTATGTAATAGGTAATGCAACTGTTGATTCCAGTGCTTTGGATTGTTGTTTTGGTTAGTTATTGCAGATTGTTTCTTCTATGCTTTAGGGTCACTTGCAGAATCATCACAAAAGAATATGTCATAGATTTATACATTTCGTTATCAAGAGTTAAATCAGTATGCGTATTGATTCACCAATATCCACAAACATTCGAATTTCAGATATATACGTATATGTGTCTTGGAATTTGTAGAAAATTGTTATTGGATGCTCTCCACCATTGATTTGGGGTGATTTCCGAGGTTTTTAGTTTTTACCACTTAAAGTTAAATTTAATAATAGTTAAAATTATTTATTAATTAATGTATTGTCATCTTCAGTAAAAGTATTTTTTTTTATAAAAAGATCCAACTTGAAGAAAATAATTAAAAGTTTCACTACTTTTAATGACGATCGGATTTAAAATTTTAAGTTAAAATATGTTGTTATATTTATATTTCGATAAAATTTTAAAATTTAATGTTTATATTTAAATTTTAAATCATTTTTAATTTAAAATCTTATTCAATGATTAATGTCGTTAAATCAGATGGTGATTAAGCCATCCTCAATCCATATGAGATGATGACGGAAAAAATATGAAAAAGTTAATAATTGTTGATGAAAATATTAATGAGGTAATGATTGAATTAATTTTATAAATAATTTTTTAAGTATAATTTTTTTAAATATAAAAAATTGAAGTTTAATAATATTTTGGGTAAAGTACACAATGATTTTTCGACTATAAGGTGTTGTTTTGTTGAGTCTTGACTATTAGAAGTTACAAATAGTCCCATCGATTACGGGCGTCATATTATTGTCAAATAACTTCTTTTTTCTCAAAAATAAATAAATAAAAGAAAAGAGTTTGGAATTTATGAAGTTGTGAACTTTTTGATTTAGATTTGGATAAAGATAAAAAAGATGAGATTTGGATAAAAGAGTAGATAAGATAGGGATGAGAGAAAAATGGAGGTTTTAAATTGTTTAATAATAATAATAATAATAATAATAATAATTTAAGATAAAGATAAGATAAATAAATAAATAATTTGAAAAATAAATTGAGATAAAAAAACTTATAATTTTAATTTTTGTCTCAATTCAAGTTGATCCTTGTAATAAATTTTTATTTTGGATATCTGTCGGTTATAATTTACAGAACTCAACTCCTATAACTTTTTTTCTCTCTTCTAAACCATTTAAAGCAAACAAACTTTTGAGCAGAGATCCATTTAAAGAAATTGGTGCAGTTGGATATCATTGATTGGGGACCTCCATCATGAATCCAAACAAACTTTTTCAAAAACAAAATAAATTTACAAATAAATTCGATTTGAGTTGTTTTAGTTATTTATAACATCTATTTTTCTCCTTTTTTTATTAATTATTAGTACTTAATATATTAATTGAATAAATCAAAGTCATATAATTTTTATTTAACTATACACTAATCATATATCTTGGGGTAAAATTTCGTACCTGCAGTGACATTATCTAACCTGAAGAACAATATTGATGATATACTCTTGTGTGGAAGCTTTCATAATGTTAAGTTTTTAGTCTCTTTCTAAATATGTATGTTGTTTTCAAAAAATTACCAACACTCCATGTGCATCGTTCCCCCAACCCTTGCTTCTTCTTCCTCTGTTTCCCACTAAACAATCTTCTTTTGCCTATATTTAGAGAGAGAGAGAGAGAGAGAGAGAGAGAAAGTGCAGTGTAATCATGGAGTGTTGGTAATTTTTTGAAAATAAAAGAAGCCTTAGTGGGATTTAATTTACGCAAAAGAAGCAATTGTGGATGCCACCATCGAAATTTCAAAAGAAAATCTACACACCAATCATTTTGCATCTATATTCATATACGTCTTCTTTTGATTCTTTTTCCGAGTCCTAAACGCAATTTATCAGAACTTTGGAACCATGCAAATGAAAACTAGTCCCGGCCACCAGTCTTGGTAAATTCCCACTGATGCTTGACTCTGTTCTGAAACTATATCTGTATGTGAAGCATTGCGTGTTGTGTATTTTCTGCTATTCTAATTTCCTGTTTCTGGTTCCCGAAAGGTCCGTCAGCGACGACTCGCTAAGAAGATACGTCCAATATGCAAGCGAAAGCTGCATACAGGAGCTGTTAATGTCGGCTTCGGTCTCGGTTTCATCAGTTTCGGAGCCGAAGTTGGGGAATGGCGGTGACGGATGGAAGATCCTGACCCTTGAAAATGGAGTAGAGATATCAAAGCCCAGGTCCGGCTCTCTTCACATATTCCGTAGCCGGTGGGTGCTCCCATCTGTCTCGCCCCAGCAATTCATCACCGTCGCCAACGCCATAGACAAGTTGAAAGTATTAGAGAATTAATTATAACAGATTTTATTTAAATTTTAAATTATTGTAATCAATTGTAATATCCTTGTGATTAGTTGTAATCTCCTAACTCTAGGCTAGTCTCCTATTTATGTGCATTGTAATTAGTTGTAATCCCCTAACTCTAGGTTAGTTTCCTATTTCTATGTGTCCCATCTTGTGTATATATATCCACTCTTAATTAATGGAAAACTCAATCCATTGTTTCTCAACACTCTTTTCTATATTTCAACATGGTATCACGAGCCTAATCTTCCTGAGCATATTTTCCTCTCTTTTTTTCTTCTTCTTCAAAAACACCGATCCTTCATACATATATCTAAAACTACACTTGTCCCTTTAATGGCTTCTCATACAACTTCCTCTTCCACCAACGATCGTATTAGTATCCAAAATTCTCAACATCCTCAACATCCTCTCCTTACAATAAATCTCTCCAATATCACCAAATTGTCATCCACCAATTATCTCACATAGAGCCTTCAAATCCAATCTCTTCTTGAAGGTTATGATCTTCATCACTTTATTGATGGCACTCAAACTCCACCACAACCCACCGTCACCGTCAATGGTGTTACATCTCCAAATCTGGCATACACAACCTGAAAGCATCAGGATCGTCTCCTTTTTAGCGCTCTCCTTGGTGCCATCTCCGTTTCACTGCAACCGCTTATTGTCTGCACTACCACTTCCCTTGATGCATGGCAAACCTTAGCTAATACCTACGCCAAACCATCTTGTGGTCATATTAAACAATTGAAGGAACAATTAAAGCGGTGTAACAATGGCTCAAAATCAATTAGTGAATACATGCAGGAGATAAAGACTCGTGCCAATGAACTTGCTCTTCCAGGGAAGCCAATTGATGATGAGGATCTTATTGATCGGGTTCTAGAAGGACTAAGTGATGAGTATAAATCTGTCATTGATTCCATTAATGCCCGTGACACGCCAATTTCTTTTGCTGAACTTCATGAGAAACTTCTCAACAAAGAAGCATCTCTTCAGACCGCTCAACCACCTTCCCTATCACTACCAGCCACGACAAATCCCACGACCTTTCGGAATCGTCCAAATTGGCGTCCATCAGCCACCAATTCACAACAATCATGCCCTACCACTATACTTTCTCCTTATGATCAACGCCAACCCAAACCTTATTTGGGACGTTGTCAAGCATGCGACACTCAAGGACACTGCCAAACGATGCCCGATGTTTCGGCTTGTCACTAATCAACAATCTCCAACATCTCATCCTCAAGGCTCTCAGGGATATCGACCCTCCACACCCTTGCAACCACAAGCCAATCATGCTATTCTGGGCAACAACACTACACCTACTTGGTTGCTGGATAGTGGAACATCTCACCACGTTACATTTGACTTGAGCAATCTCTCTCTTCATAGCTCGTACCAAGGATCTGATGATGTCATAATTGGTAATGGATCGGCTCTTCACATAACCCATATTGGTTCTACCACCATACCTACTTCCTCTCCCACCTTTACTTTACAAAATGCCCTTTGTGTCCCTTCCATGAAAAAGAACTTAATTTCGATTTATCAACTTTGCACTCATAACCATGTTTCTGTTGAATTCTCACCCTTTTCTTTTCAGGTGAAGGATCTAAACACGGGGACAATCCTTTTGATGAGAGAACCTAAGGATGGCGTATATGAGTGGTCGACTACATCCCCTTCAGTTTCTTCTCCACCATTACTTGCATTTTCCAGTGTCAATACCACTTCGTTCGAGTGACACTCTTGATTAGGTCATCCATCGTTTACTATTATGAAAAATATTGTTTCCAAATTTCCTTTACCATTGTCTAGTCCGTTATCCTCATTCACACATTGCAATGCCTATTCATGCAATAAAAGTCATAAAATTCCATTTTCTTCTTCTACCTTAACCTCATCTCACCCGCTTGAACTTATATTTTCTGATGTCTGGACCTCTCCTGTTTATTCTGTTGATGGTTTTCAATATTATGTTATTTTTATTGATCATTATACACGATATATTTGGTATTATTCCCTTAAATGAAAATCTCATGCGTATGATGTCTTTGTACGTTTCAAGGCATTAGTCGAAAACCAATTTAAACATCGAATTGTTACATTCTATTCAGATAATGGTGGTGAATATCAAGCTCTTGATCGTTTCCTCTCCACCAATGGTATATCACATATTACTACACCACCCCATACACCAGAACATAATGGTTTTTCTGAACGACGTCATCGACATATTGTTGAAACTAGTCTATCTCTCCTTACTCATGCATCAATGCCTTTAACTTATTGGACTTACACTTTTTCCACTGATGTATATCTCATCAATCGTATGCCCACACCCACATTACATCTCTCATCTCCTTTTGAGAAACTCCTTGAGTCTCAACCCAAATACACTAAACTTCGGGTGTTTAGTTACTTATGTTATCCGTAGCTTTGTCCTTATTCTCAGCATAAACTTGACTCTTGTTCCACTCCTTGTGTCTTTCTTGGCTACTCTTCAACACAAAGTCCATATATCTGTCTCGCTCTATCCACTTCTAAAATATATATTTCTCGTCATTTCAAATTTCTTGAAAACTTTTTTCCCTTTAGCACTCACCAAATCCATCTATCGCGTCCCACCCCAGAGATCATTTCCAAATAGCTTCCCCCGGTCCAAATTTGACCAATTTCAAGTGGCTCACTCAATACGCCTCCACAAGGGGATTCCTCATGTCAACATCCATCACAAAATACCCAAACAGACCACTACCCTTTCTCATCAGTCGACTGTCGATCCCCTATAACCTCCCTTTACCCGAACACAACTCGGTTAATCGCCAAGAAACCATCGTCGACCATTTACCACTAGAACCACACAATTCTGAGACCTCTTTTGCTTCAATCATAGCGCAACCCACCCATCAAAATACCCATCCCATGACCACTAGATCGAAAAACAACATCCATAAACCTCTAACCAAAATAAACCTCACTGCTATCATTTCTCAACCATCAGACATAACATATGCTGTTAACAAGCTTTCTCAATTCATGCATCGCCCGACGTCTGAACATTGGAATGTTGTAAAACGACTGTTTCGATATCTATGTGGCACATTAACGCATGGATTATTCCTTCACAAGGCAAATCCACTTTCCCTTCATGCCTTCTCATATGCTGATTGGGGTGGAAACAAAGATGGCTATACCTCAACGAGTGCCTATATTGTTTATCTTGGTCGTCATCCTATTTCTTGGTCATCCAAGAAACAACGTACAGTTGCTCGATCCTCCACGGAAGCTGAGTATCGATCAGTTGCCGCTACTACTTCTGAACTCAATTGGATTTGTTCCCTTCTCACAACACTTGGCATCACTCTTCCTACACCGCCTGTTATCTACTGCGATAATGTTGGTGCCACCTATCTCTGTTCTAATCAAGTCTTTCATTCGTGCATGAAACATGTGGCACTTGACTATCACTTTATTCGGGGTCAAGTTCAATCAGGTGCTCTTCGTGTTACTCATGTTTCCTCAGCAGATCAACTTGTCGACGCTCTTACCAAACCGCTTCCATGAAGTCGATTCCAAGATTTAAGGGTCAAGATTGATGTCTCGAGCTCCATCTTGGCATATTAGAGAATTAATTATAACAGATTTTATTTAAATTTTAAATTATTGTAATAAATTATAATATCCTTGCAATTAGTTGTAATCCCCAAACTCTAGGCTAGTCTCATATTTATGTGCCTTGTAATTAGTTGTAATCCCTAGTAACACCCCAACCCGTACCCGACTCGAATACAAGTCCGATGTGTCATGACTTTTTGAAAAATAGAGAAATTTAAAACTTTGTTTAAAGCAAAATACGTTAATTTACATAAAAATGACCACAAAATACAAACTCCATCAGAGTACTCGTAATTAACGACTTATTACATGCCAACACTCTATACACACCAAATTACATACTTTGTCGATTACTTCTGATCTGATCTTCTAGTAATAATACTGTCATTGTCACTTCTATTCTTGCTCTTCTCTTTTCTTGGTACCTACGTGTAAATCACTTACACGCTAAGTCATAGACTTAGTGAGGCAATAAATAAACATTTAACAACAAATTCATGAATATGCATTCTTATCATTTGATCATGACATTTCAACATGTATATATCTATTACACGATAATATATATAAGCATGTCATGCACATATAAAACTTACCTTCTTGTGCCACTTTCACTTTAATTTATCTTTCAATTGTATTGCCCATGTATATTATTGAGAATAGATGTATGCGAGTACACTGAGGTTGTGTACATATATGCTGTCACCACAGCTCGTATAAATATCCCGAAGGACCTATCATCCCGAAGGATGTCATATGTATCCCGAAGGACCTGTCATCTTGAAGGATATAATCTGTGTCCCGTATGACCTATCATATGTCTTATAGGACATATGTAACCCTCGACTCTTGGCATGCCAACTATACCTATAACTCTCGTATCATATACTATGGGCATTTATTATGAATACATTTCTCATCACTTGTTTTTTCTCTTCTATCACATACAACATGTATGTGTAACAATATATTTCATATCATATCACATGTATCACGTATTGCATATTCATATATCATTTCATATAATCACATAACTTATCTCATTTCACATTGGCCATGTCTCATAGCATATATCACATATGCATATTATGTAACATATTTAATAACCTATACTCATTTCATGTATTCATGCACATATAAGAATCACCAATCAAATAACATTTTAGGAGTCACTTCTTACCATAGTAACTCCATCACTGGCTCATCGCAAGCCAATGTTCGTTCAATAATATAAGTACAATTAAAATTGCACTCACCTTAGCCTTGCTTGATTTGAATCAATTCTAGTCCCTTGATTATTCCAGAGCTTGTTTATGCTCAATATCTACATAAATATAACATTTCAAAACAACTATCAGAAGCCTAAACCTTAAACTTGATGTT